TTCCCCTAGCCCTCCCACTTCCTTCCCCTTTGCCCCTTTTCTTCCTATGAAATCCAGTTTTTCCACCACCATTTATAAAATAGGCTATCTTTCCTCCAATGAGGATGGTTGGTTCCTTTGTCAAAGATAAGTTGGCTGAGCATGTCTGTAGTCATTTCTGCATCTTCTAATCTATTCCACTGATCCTCCGGTCTGTTTCTTTGCCAGTACCATGCTGTTTTTATCACAGAAGCTTTGTAGTATAGTTTCAGGTTGGGGATTGTGATACCCCCAGCCATATCTCTGTTGCCTAAAATTTCTTTTGCTATTCTAGGTCTCTTCTGGTTCCAAATGAATTTTTGGATTGTTTTCTCTAATTTTTATTTATCTTTTGAAAGCTCCAATTGTTAAAACAAACAAACAAACAATATCCAAAATTATTTCAAGGGACAAGTATCATGTGTATCATCTTCATTTGTTGGACTGTTGAAACTTGATCTCCTTCCAGTCTACTGAATTTCAGTAGATTCTGAATTTCAGCATGATCTCCTGAAATGCAAGTGAACATTAAAGTTGCCTGATTGCTCTGTGGAACTCACAGAGTAGATCAAATTTGATCTTCCTTTTCCTGGTGGGTTTCTAAATGCCTCTCCTGATGGCATCAGAATTTTTGTCCTAGACAGTACCAGTGTAGAGACACCTTTCACTCCCACCTTTCAATCCTTCTGAGAGTACTGCAATTCTCTACAATGTTCCCTTGACTAACTGCAGAGGTGATCCCTTCTAGGACTTCCCAGAAATATATTCCACAACCTTGCCTGCCATCTGCATTGTGAAAAAATTCCTGGATATTTGTGATTCTGTGAATTGAAGGTTCTATATTATACAATTGTCATCAATCCATCAGTCAATCAAAAGTCAGGTGAAGGAATTTCAACTTTATGGAGTAGGTTTTTGAGAAGCAGAGTGCCATTTATAAAATGGTGAAATAACCTGAAATTGGGAGATTTATCTTTTGATTTTCTGCAGGGCAGTTAAAAAAGATAGGGAATGAAAGCTTTGAAAGTCATTACAAATTATAGAAAATAAAGCTCCTTGGGGTGGGGATTTAGCTCAGTGGTGCCACACCTGCCTCATAAGTGGAAGGTCCTGAGTTTGACCCCCAGTATTGAACAAAAGAAAACAGAGCTCCTTGAAAGTTTTTATAGGCTATCATTTTGTGCATTGACTCACAGATTTCATGTGATGTGAATGTATTCCCTTTGTGAATGAATCAAAGCTTATTCAAATTAGTCAAGTCCTCTGAGAGTTAAGAGGAAACACATAAACATATGTAATTTATATAATTTATACAAATGCAATTAACTTAAAACATGCTCCTCATTTTGTCCAGATAATAATGGTCCCTGCTATATACTTATACTAGCATTTGTCATTATTATGATGCTGTTCACCAATGCCAATCTTTTAAGGGAAGGGTATACATTTGTTTAATTTGCCTTTTTAGATATAGCTATGACTGATCAAGTGAAGTGCTTTCCTTCTTTCTAAATATTTACCTGAGAATATTTACCATCTCCCAGGGAGTTAACAAGTGCCTGTACACAGGAAATTCCATGCAACCTTTAAAAGAGTGGACAGCAGGTTATTCAAGATAACAAGTCTCCATCCTGGAAACTCTTCTGCCCTTCTGCTTTCCAATTTACAACCTGGCTTCTTGTTGCTTTCTCATCTTTTGCCCACTTGTCTTAGCTGGTTCGATGACTCCTCTCTCCACTTCACTGCTCCAACATATTTTTTTTCCACGGCTGATTACACCAAAATAAAGGACCTGAACATCTCATACCTCATAGAAACAGTGAAAGGAGAATCATGGAACGAAATTTGGGAACGAGTTGGTTTGGGTTATCGGTTTAAATGTCTCCAAATTAATACATATCCTATACAAGTTTATTGGCAGTGTTTCCAAGAAACAGAAACATTGACACCTGTGTGACCAAAAAAAAAAATAAAATAAAAAAATAAATAAATAAATAAATTCAACCTAAATAGAGCTGTGTTACAACCCAAGTCCAGGGCCCCTGTTGTGATCTCTACCATGAGTACTTTGCAGTACTGAATTATTTTGTTAATTTCTTTGGTCACAATTTTTTTCTCCTTAAGTGGATTGGAATTATCAGCCTCTATGTCCACCAAAGGAGATTTCTTTATATGATCCTGGAGGTTGTCTTAAGAAAACACCAGCAGGGATGTAGCTCAGTGGTGCTGCACCTGCCTGGCAAGTGCAAGGGCATGAGTTCGATTTCCAATACCTGGCATTGTGGCAGAACAGGTTAAGAGAATCTCTTTCCATTGCTAACTTAAACATAGAGACCCTTTGACTTTTCACTGGATAGGGGACTAGAGTTTTTAGTTAGTAGGGAAAGATTCTAAGGGTAATACTTGATAATATTATCCCTATATGTAACATATAGTATTTATCTTCAGATATTAAGGATTCTGAATTCAAAAGAAATAAGGAATTTTAACCATGTCTCTGGTCTTGGAGAACTTGAAAGAAAAACTTCAGACTACCTTCCAGTCAAGTGAATGAATGACCGTAAGGAATAGTCTCACCATAAGTGCTATGCTTTCCTATTTGCTCCTGTATTTTTGGTATATGTTATTTTCTTTCTTCTTGAAGGTATGGACAACGTAAATACAATAAATCACTTGTATTTCAAAGAAAAAAGAAAGAAAAGCTAAGCTGCAGATACACACTGTGATTATTTTGTTAACTTAAAAGTCAAGTGTGTGTATGTGGGGGAGCCAATGGAGCAGGGCATGGTGGTGCATGCCTGTAATCTCAGCACTTGGGAGGCTGAGGCAGGAGGATCACCGCCAGAGGCCAGCCTGGGTTACACAGTGAGTTCCAGGGCAACCTGAACTACATAGCGAGACTCTGTTTTAAAAGACAAAAAATAATAATAATAATAAAAATTTTTAAAAATGATAATAAAAACCAATGAAATTGCTCCATTGTCACATTTCCCAATCAAAGGGCATTTTTTCCTAGTAATTGTGTATTACTACAACAGGGAAAAAATCAGAAATTAATTAAAAATATGAGTACGCCAATCTTAAACTTGCTTCTGAAAATATCAGGCATTTCTTCAAACAACACACAAAATTTTAGTCAGTTAAGTTGTTTAATGAAATACTATGACCATCCAAAAAAATCTTTAAGACTGAGAATTAAGTGAGAGAAAAGTCTTTACCTTAATAGTCTTTACCTAGTTCCCACTAAAAGAAGAAATATCTAATAAATTGGTGGTATAATATACTATATTATACAGGCAGAGAAAATTTTGCAGCTCCAGGGAGCAAATATCCCTGATTAATTGCCATGGAAACATCTAACAGTTGAATTTTGAAATTACAGTTCTTGTTTTATAAGGTCAAACTTTTAAACTGTAACTACTGTGTGTGTGTGTGTGTGTGTGTGTGTGTGTGTGGATTGAACCCAGAGCCTTTGCACTGAGCTACATTCCCAGCCCCACCCCCTCTTTTTGTTTTTTTGTTTTGTTTTGTTTTTGAGACAAGGTCTCATTGTGTAGTTCAGGCTGGTCTTGAACTCTGTAGCCCAGGCTGGCCACAAACTCCTGGTGATCCTCTTGTCTCAGCCTCCCCGGCACTGGGATTACAGGTGTGTGCCACTATGCCTGGCTACAGCTCTTTTTAATTTAATTTTTATTTAGAGACAGAGTCTCTCTAAGACTACTACATTTTAAACAATAAAATTATAAACAATTTCTTTCTAGGAAAGAAAATTCAGATTTTTTTAATCCTTAGAAGATCATTCTGTTATGGTGATTTTCTAATGCAGAGAATGGTGACTTCCCCTATCAAACTTCACCATTTGACCATAATGTATACTCAGGTGGACCTCAAATATACTGCAAGCTTGTCACTATAGTAAAATTTAAATATAAAAGTTCAAGAAGAGAAAAAAATGTTTGGTAAAGAGAAAACTCCTGTATTAGAAAAAAAAAAAGGCTTCCAGTGTACAGTTTTTCTTTCTCCCAAAGTGATCTTATGTTCTTTTTTCCAACTGTCAGACATTTTATTCATAATAGATTGTGACACTTAACTACCAGTGAAATTATTATGAAAGTTTTATGAAATAACGATTTTAGCTTTAAATTTAAAAAATTACATACTACAGGTCAGGCATGGTGCACGCCTGTAATTCCAGTACTCAGGAGGCCAAGGCAAGAGGATCACCAAGAATTCAAAGCCAGCCTGACCTACATAATGAGTTCAAGGCCAGGCTGCGCTACAAAGCAAAACCCAGTCTAAAAGGGGGGGGGGCGGGGGGGAAGAACCCTGCATAAATAGTCTGCAAATAATGACTTAGCCCTGAACAGGATGGTTCTCATAGTTCTGTGATTTATAGATACTTTTGCTGTCACGGGCACCGACCTGATTCATTGTTGAAATACAGGTTTGAGAGGATTTTGATGCTTCCGAGTCTGGAAGGTGGTGTGTTAGGAAACCCGGGGTTGTGTGGTTATCTGACCACAACACAGTGTTGAACACACAACCACCATCGTTAACAGCCTTGTTTCCACCTGTCCCTTAGCAAGACCCAGCAAACCACAACCACAAGTTTTATTTCTGCCGACCTCAAGCATTCCTTCCACTCCCACACCAAGCCCCAGAGAGGCAGCGATCCAAGTCTTGTCCTTTTGGGATGTGAACTTCTTCCCCTTGGCAACGGCGTAACTTGCACAGATGCCACGTCTTCTCCATCCTTGTTCTGACCCACGGGCTCGGTCCAGCCCAATCCCGTATGACCTCCACCTACTCCCACCTTGCTAAATCGGGCTACCATCCCGCAGAAGCACTGCTTGCCAGCTGCGTCTTTAGGGAGAAAAACACTCCCCAGTATCTTCCCTAGGTTGTGCCTGGCCCCTAAACTACCATATACCGGAGTTTCTCCGGGGTTGCGTGAGAGCGCGCTTGGGTTCCGCTCTGCAAACCTAGGTGCAAGTTGAGAAAGCATCGCGGAGGGAGGGAGCGCTGCTCGCGGGGGCCGCCAGGGGGAGCGCTGGCCACAAAGAGCTTGCGGGCTGCGCGAGGCTGCGGCGCGTCTAGGCCGGCGCGGCTAGCAGCGCACTCGCTGCCCACAAAGCACAGCTGAGGGGCTGACACCGGCTGGTGTCGCGTAACCTCAGTCCCCGCCAGCCTCGCCGCCCCCGCCTCCAAATCGCAACGCCGAGCTGGGACAGAGACCCGTCGCGCCACGCCCCCTGAGAGAGCTTGGGGTGGCCAGGCCTGCGTGGGGCAGCGGCGGCGGCGACTCCGGGCCAGGCTGGGACGCACAGTGCGGAACCATGGCTGAGGCGGCCGCGGCTCCGGTAAGCGCGCCGCGCGCCGCGGAGGAGGGGGAGGGGGAGGGCCGAGCGGGCTGTCCCGCCCGCGTCCCCAGCCCTGCGCCTCGGGGTGAGGCCCGGGGTTCCCGGGGCGGTTTCCAGCCGGGAAGCGCTGGCTGCCTCGTGTCAACTGCGGAAGAGGGGAAGTGGGGTGCGTCGGGGTGGTGCTGTGATCGCCGGCCATTCTCGCAGCTGCGGAGCTGTCGTCACGCGGTTCCTTTCGTCTCTGCCACCTGCGATTCGGCGAGGGGGATGGGTGCCAGGTGTGCGGAGCCAGGTGTGCGGTCCCACACGGCGTGACGGCGCCCAGAGCGCCCGGGGCTTGCGGGAACCTGCGTGCGGGGCAGGACGGGGCCGATCGTGGCGTGCGCTCTTGTACCGCAGGCCTGCGTGGGCCCAGCACGCTGCTAGAGGTACCAGGACCAGGACAGAGGCCTCCGGGGACAACCCCTGCACATTGCCGTTTAGGACGAGGAGCATTCCTTAGATTCCCTACCCGAGAAGCCTTGGTCGCCTCCAGGAAAGCTGCTGTTAGTGGGTCTCACTGAGCAGTGGCTGGAAATTGAGAAAAGGAAGAAGGACGAGGAAAAAGGGGGAGCAGCAGCAGCAATGGGTTGGGAATAGCACACAGAGGAATAGCAGCTTTACTTGTGGTACTTAATTTTTAAATTTTTTTTTAAGCTGGTAAGGCTGATCATCTATGTACCCAATAGAAATTTAATGAAAGCTACATACATAACTTTAAATTCTCTAGTCATGTAAAAAGTGAAAAGAAATAGATGAAATTAATTTTAATGATGTATTTTTTTTAACTCAGGGTTTGCAAGATGTTATTTCCATAGTAATCAACGTTAGAAAATTAGCAATGAGATTGTGCAGCATTTTCCATACTCAGATTTTGAAATCTCCTGTGTATTTTATAGTTGGGTCACATCTCAGTGGGACTGAGGACATTTCGGGTGTTCAGAGGCCACATGTAGACAGCAGTGATGGTACAGGTCAGGGAAATTCCATGTTATGGAGAAGAATGGTAGAAATGGACATATTGATGATAAAACGAAGTACCTAAAAAGGTGGAAAGGTTGGCATTAAGAGTGGAAGTGGGAAGGAAAGAAGACAGCATGTGTTAAGTTACTGATGAATTTAAAATGGGAAGGAGTATGAAGAAAGAGAGTTTGGCAGGTGTAAATGCTGAGTCTCCATTTTCCTCCTTGACTTTTTGGCTCAAAATCGATATTTTAACTAGCTCTGCACATGATTCTTATGCACAGTTGTTGAAGGTTTGTAGTAGCCACTTTGGGATGGGTGGCACCAAGCTGGAGCTGTTTGGTCTATTTGCCAGCATCCTAGCTGTTGTGTGGTTTCCTTCAGCAAGGCTTGGGGTCTGTGTACCGGAATGGGACTGTGAGGGACCAGGCTGATGCAGGGCTGGGGATTGGCTGAGCGAAATAGGCAGACACACGAGGGAAGCATGACTGAAATGGCAAGGAAGAGAGCAAAGCCCAGGCCAGGCAGATAACCCAGGAGCAAATGGAACCTTCAGAGGGCTGGAGTTCTTACTAATGGGATTGCAGATCAGGTGAGAATAAGGTAGTGCCTGAGGTGGGAAGAGGAATGGTGGTCAGAGTGGTTGGTTTATCAGGTTCAGAGTTAGATGGCTTCATAGAGGTCATCGCAGTCCAACTTCCTGTGTGTTGTAGGAATTTCTTCCTTTTATTTTAATTTAATTTAATTTTTTTTGAGACAGGATCTTACTTTGTAGTTCAGGCTGGCCTCGAATTTGAGGTAATCCTCCTGCCTCTGGCTCCTGAGTGCTGGGATTACAGGCGTGAGCCACCACACCTGGCCTTATTTCTTCCTTTTATATCACTGTTTGCTTCAAAGTATATTCAGTGATAAGAGTAGCCTGTTATTTTCTTGGAAAGAGGTAGTTAAAATGATTTATTATAGGAAACTTTCATATGTTGGTTCTAATCTGCCCTTTGGAGTACCACAGTAGATTAAACAAGTCTGTTCTGTTCTGTTTTCCAACCCCGAGATATTTGAAAATGGTCATGTTTTCTGTAGACAACATTCTCAGCTTGTTCAGCTTACTTCAGGTGGTGTGGCTGTATGTGAACAGGAGGGTAGACAAGGCCAGAGCATAAGTTTATTTCTTTTTAAAATTATTATTATTATTATTATTGTTTGTTTGTTTGTTTGAGAGAGGGTCTCACTCAAGCCCAGACTGGCCTTGAACTCACTAGCTAGCCTAAGGTGGCCTTGAATTCACATAATTCTCCTGTCTCAGCCTCCTGAGAGCTGGGATTGCAGGTGTGCACCACCATGCCTGGCTCAGAGCATAAATTTATAAGGTTTATAAGTTAGAGGGCATTGAGCTCAGTGAAAACAGGACAGGGTCCTATGTACTTCTGCCTTTTCCAGAGACAGAGGAGGCAATAGCAACTCAAGGAGCCTCTGGGCCTTTACTACAGGAAATGTGTCAGACTGCTTCTTAAAAAGCCAGCTTCATTAATTCAGTCTTTTCAAATCCATGCCTATTCTCTTAGTTTTGGCTGCCAAGGAACTGTAAGACTGTGCGTCTCACCAACTGCTCCGAGGAGCTGACTACAGTGAGGATCACCCGGGAGGGAACACACCGGACAAGTTGTGAAAGTAAAACAGACCTTTATTACTCTGGCCAGACGGCACCCTCCAAGCACCAAGCTTAGAGAGGCGGCCGGCTCAGAGTCTGAGGCTCTTCTATAGGGGTTGCAAGAGGGAACTTGGCAAGCAGCTGTAAAGAAGCAAGACTTGGTGGTTAGGGGAGTGTAGCAACCCCTACAGAAGCTAGACGTTCTGCTGTTAGAACATTTGTAAAACAGTAGTTGATTTATTGTTGTTTCTAAGAGACTCTCTGAGGGGAGGAGGTTTCTAAGCTTCCTCCTTCTGAGTTCATCTAAAGGGCAGGCAGGTGGGTCAAGCAGCAATATGGAGTCTGTCTTGTTAACAAGGGTCCTTCAGAACTCTAGAGCAAACAGGCTGACACAGGCGCTGTAAACCTTGCCAAAACTGCACTTGGATACATCTCAGCCAGTCAGCTATGCAGTCCTCACCTGACTGCAGACTGGAGTGAGGGTTCCTCCTAACACTCAGTGTCTTGTCCCATCTCTCCCCTGCCCACAGACTTCTGAATGGGACTCCGAGTGCCTTACATCCCTGCAGCCCCTGCCACTGCCACCACCCCCAGCAGCCAATGATGCGCACCTGCAGACTGCAGCCATCTCCCTGTGGACAGTGGTGGCTGCCGTGCAGGCCATAGAGAGGAAGGTGGAAGTACACAGCCGGCGGCTCCTGCACCTTGAAGGCAGAACAGGGACAGCAGAGAAGAAGCTGGCCAGCTGTGAGAAGACAGTTACCGAGCTCGGCAACCAGCTGGAGGGGAAGTGGGCCGTGCTGGGGACCCTGCTGCAGGAGTACGGGCTGCTGCAGCGGCGGTTAGAGAACCTGGAGAACCTGCTTCGCAACCGGAACTTCTGGGTGCTGCGGCTGCCGCCGGGTATTAAAAGAGATATCCCAAAGGTAACACAGTACCTTCATATCTGCCTGTGAGATGCCGCCACAGACCCTCCACCAGCAGTAAGGGATGAGTGCAAGGCTTAAAATGTCTTAGGAACCTTGGAGACATTTTGTGTTTATTTATTTGGGAAGCATTCTGTGTTCAATTTAGTGCCCAGAGTATTAGACTTCAGATGGGAAAACTTTCCCAGTCAGAGTTTGGTTACCTAATACATGCATTTTTTTCTTCTATTCTCTTAGCCCTCAGGATTTATTTCTCTGTTTGTTAACCTATCTGTCAGGATCTTGGGGAGGAAACTAAGTTGAGCATTTTAATCAGTCCATTTGGATTTGTCAGCAGTTCTTGTAAAAGTTTAGAGGGAAGACAAAGGTAAAGGATGTATAATTATATGGTTACTGTGAGGGTCCATGATTATATGTGGGGCTAGGTTTGCTACAGATCACGTCGAGATGTTAGAGGTTGTTGTCCTTCTAGAAGAAATGGCTCACAAGGGCTGGGGATTTAGCTCAGTGGTTTCGTCGCCTGCTTCGCAAGCGCAAGGACCCGATTTCGATCCCCAGTACCAAAAAAAGAGGAAGAAATAGCACACAAAACAAAAGGAAGTAAACATCATTCTGAAGCTATGGAAGACAACTGTGGGCAGCTAGTTCTAAATGCGCCTTTTTATTTCCTCATTAATTTGTTCAACGAATGTTTCTTGAACACTTACTATTTGCTTGATCTACATCCTAAAAGAATAGTAGTCAACAGGCCCAGGGATTTAGCTCAGTGGTTCTGGCGCCTGCCTGGAAAGCACAAGGTCCTGAGTTCGATCCCCAGTACCAAAAAAAAGAATAGTGGTGAACAGTTCACTAATGTCTCCTGGAGCTTTTGTTTTCCTGGGGAAAGCAAGATAACACACACACACACACAAATGCATTGAAGTGTTTTGATAAAAGTAAAGCAGAGTGCTCTCTAGTGATCTATTTTCAAATGGATGTCAGCGTCTCACTAAGGAGCTAATATTAAGCAAAGGCTGAATTTGAGGAAGGACCTAACTAGGAGACATCTGAGGAAGAGTTTCCCAGGTGAAAGAAGAGCTGGTCCAGAGTCCTGGAGGCTCAAATCCATTCATAACACAAAGAAAAAGGAAAAAGGCCAGTTAACTGGTGTGCAGCCTGAATGGGGGAGCATACTGGAGAAACGGGTAGAGGGTTCAATCATTTAGAACGGTGCTTTTCCCTTGTTGGCGAACATAAGAATTACCTGGTGGAGCCAGACATGGTGGTACACATTGGTCATCCCAGAGCTCTGGGAGGCTGAGGTAGGAAGATTACAAGTTCTAGCCCAGCTTGGGCAGTTGAACAACTTGGCAGCACCTTATTTCAAAATAAAAAAGGGCTGCGATGTTGCTCAGTGCAAAGGCCCTGGGTTCAATCCCCAGTACCGGGGGGAAAAATGTTACCTGGGGCACTTTGAAATTTTGACCAGCATACTCCCAGGTAGAGCAGAAGCCTGGATGACCCTTAAAGCTCGATAGAGATTTTCCTGAGTTGCTAAGGTTGTGACTACTAATAAAGAGCACTTAAGACTGAGGAAAGGACCTTGGGTTTTATATTTAAGTGTAATGAGAAGAACCCGGAGGGTTTAAGCAAAGGAGTTCTGTCTGCAGAGTAGTTTGAAGAATCATGCTGGCTGCTGTGTGGAGAGTGGCTCCTGGGGGCAGGAACAGAAGCGGAGGAGAAGCTGGCCGGGCTGATAGAGATAGAGTAGGAGAAAGGAAGTGGCTTGGATGGACACCAGGGTGGGGAGGAGAAAAGTGGACCGCAGCAGGCTGTTGTGATTGCAGAACTGATGACAGATGAGTCAAGACCGATGATCACTGTAGAGTCACTGTGTGCAATTAAGAGTTTGTGCTGTGGGCTTTGCTTCATTTAAGGTGTGAAATTCTTTTTTTTGTTTTGTACTGAAGTGTGAACTCAGGATCTTTGCATGGAACTGCATTCCCAGCTCCTTTTCTCTTTTTTATTTTGAGCTAAGATCTTTCTGAATTCCCCAGGCAGGACTGATACCTTGAATCCTCCTGCCTCACCTTCCCAGAGTGTTGAGATGACAGGCATATGCCCCCTGCCCCAGTCTAAGGCATATAATTTTTATAAGAGCCCTAACTTGCCCATGATGATATGGTTACCAAATATAAATAGCAGAGTTGTATTTTAACGCAGTGGGTGAAGGATATGCTCTTAGCCACTGTGGATTTACAGACTCTTAGCTCTTGGTGGGAAGACCTGGATGGGTGGTATTGGCATTTCCTTGAGGCCATTCCTTGGGGAAGTGTGGCCTGAGGTGGAAAGGAATGAGGCTTCTGGGCCGTGTTAGGTTTGAGATGTCTTCGATAATTTGGGAGAGGTGTCTAGTGGACCCTGAAGCTCAAGGGAGAGAGAAATACCTGGGAGTCACTGATCCAGAGTTGATACTGTCACTTGTGAGCGTAGAAAGGATCATCTCAGGCAGAGAGTGGATAAGCAAGGGAGTCCCGGGACCCAGCCACAGGGGTAGGAGGAGCCAGGAGAGGAGGTGGAGTAGCAGAGGCTGTGGAGGTGGGAAAATCACATGGAAGAGTAGTGGAGTCACGGGCCAAGGAGAAGAGCTTTCAAGGAGAGAGCTGTCATGTTCATGGGACATTCGATCCAGAGGTCTGCAGATGAGGGTGCTGAGTGTGATGTCTTGGGAGACGTGGAAAGAACCAGTTGGGTAGAGAGGTGCAGATAGGATGAAGATGGAGCAGCTGAGACAGCATGGGGCAAATGATGCTAAGCGACTCTTAGGCTTCCTGTGCAGGGGACAGAGGAGGAGGAGGCACTGAAGAGTTATCAGAGTAGCTTTGATCAAGAGTGCCCCCTATGCAGCCATGCGTTGGGAGCCCCTCCAAGGTGTTCTTTGGGTCACCTGGATGGAGTATCTGTTAGTAGAGCTGCACTAAAGGTGATTAAAGTTACTCTTATCTGGCTAGGTGGGTAGCATTTTGGGGGGGGGGGTACTGAGGATCGAACTTGGGGCCTTGCACTTTAGAGGCAGGCAGCAGAACCACTGAGCTAAATCCCTGGCCCCTAGGTGGGTAGCATTTAAACTATCCATCTCACCTTCCAAAATCATACAGAAAATATGTGATTTTTTTGAAATTAAAATGCATTTAATTCTAGTCAAGATATATTGAAGATCTACTAGCTTAAAATATGGGCTCAATCCCTAATCAACATTTACCTCCAGCTCTTTTTCATCTTCCTAAACTGAGACTGTCCTCATTAAATGGTAACTCCTCACCTCCTTTCCACCTAGTCCCTGGCAATCACTGTTCCACTTTCTGTCCCTGTAAATTTATTGACTACCTAGGGACCTCATATGAGTGGATTGGTGCACTCATTGGTTTCACTTAATAATGACCTTAAGGTTCGTCCATCTGTAGCCCAAGTCAGAATGTCCTTTTTAGAGGTTGAGTAATATTCCATTTCCTTCAGACTTTTAAAGTCATTGGGCTTTTATATTAAAACATCAAATGTCACTTATGAAAAATTTAATGCCAGATCTATTCTCATATGTATTTTCTCTCTGGAAGTGTTTATACTTGCTTTTCTAAAATGTTTTGGGGATGTGTGTAGAAGTAGGTCTTTTTTAATTTATGTTGGACATTCAGTGTGACCTTTCAGTCAGATTAGTGACTTTTCAGCTCTGAGAAGTTTTCTCTTGTAATTCTATTTTTATAACATTTCCTCTCCCTGCTCCTCATTTTTTTCTACTTTCTTTCTGGAACTACTGTTTGACAGATGATGCATCATTGTTTTTTATCTCTTAACCTTTTACTTCATATTTTTCACATTTTTATCTAGAGTTGCTTGACCTTTCTAATTTGTATTTTAACAATTTTATATTTAATTTTCAAGAATACTTTCTACTCCTAAAAGCAGCCTTAATTAAAAAAAAATGTATGCACCATATGCTGGAATTTTGCTGAGACTATATTGGAAGTTTATTTGGGTGTAATATCTTCAGTATTATTCCTAACATTTGTCCATTTGGTGCTGTCTGATTTTGGACATGGGGTGATCTGCGGCTGGTTTCTCGTAGTCACAAGTGAAGGATCAGATTGATTAATAGTCAGTGGAAGCCAGCATGTGTCCCCTGAAGTACCAGGTCTCTTTATGCCAGGACCTGTCCTTTGCAGGACAAGCCCCTTCACACAGGTGGACTCAGAGAGGTGCCCTGGCAAGGAGCAGTCAGGCAGGGCAGGGCCTCATGGACCAGGCACTATGCTGCACTGTCAGCAGCCTGGCTGGACTCCAGGTTGTCTTCAGGGAGGTGGCTAATTTCCTTCAGAGATAGGCTCTGGTCTCAGCTTTGGGCTCGCTGGTGCTGCTACCTCTCTTTCAGGGCTCATGGGGTGGCAAAAGAGTGGCAGTGTTTAAATGCAGCCCTTCGAACTGTACTTCATAACCAGCTTTTACTCCCGCTTGGTGTCCCTGATGGATTCAGAGTCCCTCTGGATTGCTGGCCTCCTGTGGGGAGTCAGATGTGGTTGCCCACTCAGTTAGGCCTCAGTGCCCTCCCAGCCCATCGCTCCCTGAGAACCTCATCTAAAGCTGAGGTACTGCTGGCCTCCTCATTCTTTGTGGCTTTGGGGATGAGGTCCCTTCTGGCCTTACTTTCATTTCAATGAAATTCTAGGAGGGGAGGAGAGTAAATGTATGCTGAGTCAAAATTCAAACAGAAAGCTCATCCTGATCACTTATTTTTGTCATTTTATCATAATGTATTTTTGTTGTATCTAAAACATCTTTTTTGAGTGAAGTTAGATAATAACAAATTGTTGCATTTTCAACTCTGCACTACTTAGCCCAAATTTAGTTGCTGAGCAGGATGTAAAGATGAGTAGTTTACAGTTCTCATCCCCAAAGAACAAAATTTTTAGTTAAGGAGATGTTGACAAAATGGAACAATTAGGAAAAAAAATAGTATTAATAATAGC